ACAATACTGGTTTAAAAATAGATCATTTGAGCACAGTGCTGGAGTTTTGTTTCTTTTTTTCTTTGGCTTTTGTTGGAACAAATCTTCGAGTTCCTCTGCGCAGGAAAAACTGGGAAGATACAATTTTAAAAAAGCAGTTAAAGCAGCTTTGCCTTGATTTGTTCCTACATTCAAACACTATTTACATATGCATCAGCATTAACAATCTAATAGCATAGCATGACATAAGCACATTTGTTAAGGAAATACATATTTTTATTAAGCAGGTAAAAATATCTCTTCACATATCTTTATTAGTAGTTTATTAGTAAAATTTTGGAAAACATATTAGATACAAATATTTCATAAAAATGACAAAGTGATGTACCAAAGTGTAAAAAACACTACAGAGAAGGAAGCCTGTTTTGTTACACAAAGTTGCATCGACCTTGTGCTCTACTTTTTTGGACATAAATATCCAAGAGGGGTAATTTAAGATACTTACAAGTAATTTTCAAAATGCATCACAGTAGTTAAGCCTCTAGACCTGCACCCAGACTACACAGGTAAAGCTTGAAGAAAAATAATCTGTAGGTACTTTATCCACGTTCCAATTGACACAACACATATTACATGTGTAACAATGCATGTGTCGTGCAGTGGATGCGTTTGCTAAGGGCCAGATGTGTCTGTCACACACGTAGCCTGGGGTCTGATGGTAGAAGGTGAGGAAGAGAGAGTAATGGAAGGGCCTAAGGCCAAGAGCATTATCTTCTCCTGACTCTGACTGACACTCATTAGGCTGCACAGTGGAGAGAGGCGGCTGAAAGCTTATTAAGCCACCTGCTCAAAAGGCCCTTAATTGAATCCAAGTAATTATAGAGACCTTGCCCATTGTGATATTTTTATTCATCCTGCGGCAAACTCAATCTCTCTTGCATTTGGAACGCTATTAATGTTGTCTGCACCAATATGTGTGAGATTCAGACACAGACCTATGCATCAGTATTGACGTGCGCACACACACACACACACACACACAATTCCAGTCCCCTCAGACGTGTCCCGTCACCAAGACCCTGGCTGCACTTTTTAGTCTGTTCTCTGCTTCATTAGAATCTGAGGGATAATAAAATTAATTGCAAAGACAGTTTAGTTCCTTTGAAAATAGATTACAGGTGTAATTGTTTTACCTGAATAACCCGTAGGCAAGAGAAATTAATTAGACCTTGTGTCCCAAGTCCTAATGTAGTTCCGTTCCTTCATTGGCCTGGTGCACCCACACGCACACACTCAGAGACACACAGCACATTCAGATGGATGGGCAGGCAAACTCACACTAACTTTTGGAAGCACGTGCTTTGCAAAGACGGGGGTGAAGGAGGACAATGTGGAGGTGTTAGCGAGTCATTAGAAATGGGAAAGGTTAAGAGTTCAATTGTAAAGCCGTCCTGATCCAGATGTCCTGCGGCCTGGGAACATTTTCAAGGGCTAATTTAGCAGAAAATATTGCATTGTGTACATGTGTTTGCATATTGTGTGCGACTAGTGTCAGTGGGGGCATTAGAAGCACTATAATTGGCTGAGGCAGCATCATCATTATTGTAATGCTCCCTATGTTGGTTATGTCAGACTGACCCACTACCAATTCATCATTCCCATCAAGGCCATGTTGATGGTAGACATGAATGAGCAATGCAACGCTTTTATCTGCCCTTTAAACAGGCTCAACATTTTCAAATATTCCAATTTTTTTTCTTCCCCTGCCAACTAATGATAAAAGGAGGCTTATGCGATGCTGTTGTATTTTTACTCTTATTCCAAGCCGCCGATAGCAAGTGTGAATTTCAAGCTGCTTTTCTGTTATTAAAGCCACGAGATAGCAAGGTGCGAAGGAATTTTTGCCTCCCAGTTTGCATATCATCTTGTTTAAGCTTGTATTCTTTATGTCTGCCAGATAGGAATAAACACAGATTTGCTGTTTTGAAAGATCTTTTCAAAGAGTGGGCTCAGGTTTTGTGCTGAGACACACGGCTGGAACACACTGATTGACAGAAGTAATCTGAGCGGCTCTAGGAGCCCCCGGTCACCATGTGAGCTGTCTGGTTTCTGTGGGACTCCCAAAAATGCCTCGATCCTCTCCCCTGGTTTTACTGGAGCTGCAGTATTATTCTCTACGTGCTGAGACAGACGGAGAGAGAGGGAGGGAGGGAGAGAGAGATGCAAGGAGGGTTTTTCTTCTTTCTTGCATCAGCAGTTGTAACTCGACACAGCCAACTCGTCAATGAGCATGGTCCTCTCATATGTGCTCCCCCCTCCCTCCCTTTTACATCTCCCCCACTTCCCCCATCTCCCTACCACCCTTCCTTGTGGCTGACCTGAGTGCCGCTTTCTGTCCCCTTGTTGCATCACACTTGGAGAAGCACTGTACAGTAATTAGCATCAGTCCTGCTCATCTGCCCGCCAGCCTGCCAGTCAGCCTGCTTGTGCGCCTGCCTGCCTGCCAGTGTTCCGCCAACTGCCATGCCCTATTCATGTCCTATTCATCTAGTGCTGAATAAAAGACTGCTTTCCTCGGGACATCCATCCCTCTGCTGGCCTTTATATTTTTGTGGCGAGGCGCAGAAGTGAGGATTAGCATTAAAAGGAATAGACTGCTGAGGTAGACTCGGCAGGAATGCATGAATGCATACTTTAGTTCGGCCAAGCTGCTTTTGTTCGGTTTGGTAGAGATTTTAGTGCGGGAACAATTTATGCCTCATACAGACACCTGTCTGTGAGTGTGTGTGTGGGTTGTTTTTTTTTTTGCTTTTGCTTTTACTTTCATTCAAAAATCTTTTTGAACTGTTTTTGTTCTCGTCCCAATCTCATCGTTTTGTCCCTTTTTTCCCCTCTCGTCGCACTAGTTAAGCGCGTTACCGAATTAATCACTTTATTATTTCTTTTCAAGTGTTGCCTAAATGAGATAGAAGGGTAGAAAGAGATGATGTATGATCTTTTGGCATTCATTTGCACAATTTTTAAAATTCACTGAAATTCAAGTATTCACTGTGTGTGATTTGACGAGTGAGCTGCGAATGTCTTTTAGTCTTGGCTCTAAGATATTTATCTCGCGTTAAGGTTCAAAGCTGACCCTTTCCACAATCTCGCTGCTACAGATGGCCTGCCAAAGTGTTGGCATCGTCACGTCCACTAACCAACCAGATAGGAATGCAGTATTAGATAACACACACTGATCAACTTTGACACTGGCACACTGGCACAAATTGTAAAGGAGAAAAAAAAAACACCAAAATAAATGGAATGAATGGAGGTAAAATGTGGAAAATGAAGTGTTTGGAATTCCAGCAATGAAGAAAATCGAACTGAGTCATGGCGGCAGAAGCCACGTTTGTATAATGTGTCTCCAGATGTTATTATGACTCCGTTAGGCATGGAAAGAAACAGCCGGGGAATTGTGACCGTTCATTGTGGCCTAAGATTCTGTAAGTTTCATCAATTGTGCAGTCCGCATAACTCAACTTGATGTCGTACCTAAGTTTATTTGATCTATGTTGGCTTGAGATTGCTGAAATCTCCCAGTCTGCAGGTGCCACAGCTATACTAGAGATGCATGCACAGTAGTGCTTTGAGCAAGAAATGCATTGCTTAGGCATTTTCAACATACTGCAAACTTGTTGTCTTTGCTTTATAGAAAAGGGAAACGACTTGTCCAGGTAGTACCTGTCACCCTGTGATGACCCTTAGTAGGAGATGGATGGACGGATGGATGGATGGACGGATGGATGGATGCACCTTTTGTCTAACATTTGTGTGCAGATATCCGGCTGTGTAGTTGGAGCAGGGTAGCATGTTTGCTGATTAACCCAAGGCGATCTGACCTGGTGACGAGAGTAGAGAAGAAAAGTTGATGTGACATTTCAAGCAAAACCACAAATGTCAGCTTCATGGCGTGACAAGCTGGAAAGAAAAAAACAATCATCAGACCCAGAATTTTTCTCCGATCGTCATGAATATCTGTGTAAAACTTAACAGCTGTAGGTACTGAGAGGTCTGCAATAAAGAGCTGGAATGACCAACGGACTAATAAATATTCCCATCGCTTTAGCTTCTGCTAGCATAGCAAGATGAGTACCTCACATTCCTGCACTCTCCGCCTCCCTTGCTCTGACAGTACGTGTGATATATGTCGGCTGGCCTGCAGGCATGTATGGTGTCGCCATAATGGAGTGGTAAAGCAGCAGGCATTATGGATTGAGAGCGAGCCGGCTCGTCCATGAATCTGCCCCTAACTGTTCTTCTGCCTTTGTGGCCGTAACGATCGGCTGGCTTCCCTCTGTCACCATATTTCCTCCATCTTAGTTTAGAAGCAGAGATATATCTCTACATAAAGGCTGACACACAGAGGGCTGGAGAGCCTTGCCTGCTCCCCAACACAAAAGACTCGGGCCTGGTGGTTGATAAAGGCTTATGGAGAGAAGAGGAGCTGATGGCCAGGGGACTGTTGGAAAGACCTATTCTCTTCACAGACAAAGACACACTCTCACTCAAGACACTATCTGTGTGACGCTGTTTGTGAATGCGTGCATGTGCCCTCCTCACTTTTTCTCATCCTTGGCTCTCTCTCGTTCTCTCTCTTCTTTCACACTAACACACACACACAGACTTTCTTTCTTGTTAGAAGATGCTAATATAGCACACGACAAAGCCCCAGTAGACAGCTCTCAGACAAAACACTTCCTTTTTAAAGCAGTTCATCTTTATGCAGAGTCTATCCAAAGGCCTGCCAAAGCATGGTCTCTTGAAAAGCAGGATTTTCACCACCGCTCAGTCATTCCTGACATCTATTCAGTCTCGCTTCATTAGTGCAGCGGCTGATCACGCTGATGTTTGAGGACATCAGGTTGGTTATTAATTGCTCCCTCTGATACTGAATACGACAGCCTGTCCGCCTTGATAAATCTGCAGCGTGTGTCTTTAGCAGCCTCACCTGTGCGATTTTTTTTATTTTTTGCCTACAGAAAAGTGGGTGCGAGGCCGGGCCATCGACCGTGGCGAGGTCGACATCGGGACTCAGCAGAGCCAGGCAATCCCGCCGGGACTTTTTTGGAGGTTTCATATAACTGTGCACCATCCGACCTACATCAAGTTCAATCTTTCTCTTTCACACAACGCACTGCTGGGGGTCTATGGGCGCAGGAACATACCGCCTACACACACTCAGGTAAAGAAGGCCCCATGTCGTAGCGTGCTGTTCACCAGATGGGCATGTTTGCTTCAGCTGCTACAGATCCCATCCACGCTAATGCACCTATTTCTCTCCACTTTGTCCTTGCATCTACACTGAGGTAATATTCAGCGGTGGGGAGTGTTAAGCACTTATTTGAACACGATTACATTATATTCTTTGATCCAGAACTCCTGATACTCCAGGATGCTCTAGACACACACGACACACAATGCTTTTTTTAATATTTAAACATGAGAAATTATCTTAGTTTGAAAGTCTTTTTAAAAACTTCTATTGTGATACACTGGCTGTCTTTTTTGTGCATTTCCTCTAAAACCACATCTCTTTATTTATCAACATCTTTGTTCTTCCCAATCTCAAAATTTGTCAGTGTGCTCATTCAGCCAGACAGAGCATTACAGCAAGCACATTTTCATCCAATCTGACAGCTGGAATAGGTTTTGTTTTGTTTTTTTGGATTCGCTGTTACTTTGTCTCCATTTTGATGTCTCTGGATTTCTTGTCCTAAAAGAGGTGGAAGTTGCATTTTGTTCTTTTCAGTACAAACGCCGATTTGTGTGGAGACAGATGTCCATAAACTGCTTTTATTCATGTTTTGTGAGGCTAATGTGTTAGAACAAACAAAAACAGTTAAATCGATAACTGACTGCAGCAGAGCATGAATTTGCTGTCTGCCTGTTTAACAGGTAGCATTCATGAACCATGAACCAAAAAAAATCACTGCTTTAAACTTGTTCTGACAACACAAAGAGAAAAAAATGTAAATCAGATCAATTAAATTGTGAGTTCAGCTGTATTGAAACACAGTGTTAGAGTTGCTGATGGAAAACTGATGTTTTTTTCTTCTCTAGACTCGTGCGTGTTTTTCTCATACTGAATATGATGCTAATTTTCCAGCTAAGAAAACAAACAAAACATGAGGACAAAGCAATTCTCCCCACATGGATACGTGTCTTTCTAAAACGGTGCACGGGCACCCTAAAAAGTACGGACGCACTCGGTTTTTCGTGAAGAAAACGCTGATGTTAGCGTCTCGTATCGTGCAAAGTGTAGAACAGCATTGTGCCATTCAAGACGCACAGATACAGACAAAAATACAACACACACTGAGTCATCTGCTTTTTAACATCAGTGCGCCCCTGCTCTCGCCTGCATGAAGAGGTCTAATTAGCTGTTTTTGACACTAGTGTGACACACAGCCCTCAGGGGAAATAAGACTCAGCGAGTGCTTGCTAGTTCAAGGAGGTTTGAGGATGGATAGGAGGGGAGGGAGAGAGAGGAGATGAGAGTGGTGGAGGAAGTTAAAGAGGGAGAGAAAGAAGCACGAAAAGGTTAAGACAGATGAAATAATAGTCTGCTCCACTGAAAACCTGGGTGGTAAAGTGTGCCCATGCTATTAGCAGCATGTCAAGTTTTTGAGCCAGCTGCTGTGGAACACGTCTGGTAGAAAAGGGAGATGCGGCTGAAAAAAAGCATTCCTCCTTTCCTTTGGCCTCTGGATTCACATTTGATATGCGCATCATGAATTCTAGTCCCCAATTTCTTGTATCCACCCAGTTTTCTAATAGCATTCACGCAGCTAGCCCAACAACAGCCACACGCCACTGCACAAGGTTTGCCTCGCTCATTTCTGTTGCCTTTATGTAGCTTTTGCGAATTCCCATGTTGTTTTTGTTGCTGTTGTTTCCTTCAGACTGGTTGATAATGCTGTTTCCTGGTTGTGTTGTATTCAGTTTGACTTTGTAAAACTGCTGGATGGGAAGGCCCTGCCCAGGTCCTTGACTGATCCCGTCTCAGCTGCCAAAGCTCCCAAAGGCCTGCTACTGAGCGGCCTCCAAGAAACAGGCTTCATCGAGTACATGGACCCCGGCACCTGGCACCTGGCTCTCTACAACGACGGCCGCAACCTGGAGCAGGTGTTACTCCACAGCACTCCCATAGGTGAGGAGGATTAGCTTTTTTTCTTCTGTATTTGTCTTGCTTTACATGTGTTCCTCTGATAACGTCTCAGGGCTGCTTCACTCTCTCGTTCTGTCTTCCTTTTTATCTGCGGATATGCAGACACGTAAGGGCATGGTCAAGAGTGGTGTGAAACTCATTGACATTTGAAGGGAACTTTTCCTATTATGCGAGTGAGTTTGGCATGGCAGAGACAGCCGTTAAAAAGGGGAGGACAGCTCCTGTAGTAATGACAGGGCTTGCTAACTGCAGCTCATTGCTATGACACACACGGATGGCAGTGTAAATTGAAGGATGTGAATAATGCAAGAGTATGTGGCTGAATATAGACAAGTGGATAATTACCAGGGCAGTTTCTTCACTCCCACTTTGCCCAGTAGTCCTTAAGAGAATACAGTGTTGAAATAACCAAAAAAAAAAAGTGTTGGGAAATGTAGTAGCACAGTAATGCCATGGAGCAACTTGGTAATTTCCATGTTAATACACTCACACGCATATCGCGAGCGACCCTCCATGAAAAAGAAAAGTCTATATTTTGGGATGTTTTTCCTCGCGCGTCTCTTATGACGAGGTTTTCCTATTATTCAGGAAATGATCAGGAACATTATGCGTGGCTGACGTGATGCTTTTAGGCTAAATATGTATCAACAACCCCTTCAAAACCCAAGTTGCAAGCCAATCAGTAAACAGCTCCACAGAGGCAAAACATTGTACTGAAGACATCTTTCATCGTCATATTGACAGAGTCTTTTTTACAATGACTGACAGCGTGCGACAGCTAAACACAGATTTTATTTCAGAGCTGTCAAACATTTGTTGACACGTGTGCTGTCTGTAAAGTCTGGAATAGACCAGACTTTCTGTTTTTTTCCCCAGTCACATATTTCGTGATAAACAGGAACCAGGAAGAATTTTTGTTGCCTCTCTTTAGTAATCAAAAACAAACAGAGGAACAACAGATGGCCTTAGTCTACCGGCCTTTAGTTTGCCGAGGTTGTTCAAAACAATTAATCGAGCGATACAGCTTGAAAGGCAAAAATAATATTAATGGATTGGGGTCAAAGATCATTTTACTGCCTATTTACACATCTGAAAGAAGTTACGGCAGGACACCGCTTACTTTCAGAGGCAGAAGATGAAAGCCGCCCAGCCACTGTGCGGTAAATCCTAATAAGGGACACAATATAGTGTAGACTGAGAATTGAACCTTGATGATGAGGAGAGGAGGGAGAATTGAGATGATCTCTGTCGGGAAACTGAGCTTTTCCGCAGCCAGTAGTAACTGGATACATCGAAGAAACGAGAGAGAATAAATAAGCGAAAAGCGACCGTGAAAATAAATAAATAAAGTAAGATGAAATCAATAGAGTGTGGAGTATGACAAGAAGTAAAAATATGAGCACAAAGATGATAGGACAATACCTGAAATGGGGCTGATTGCGGTTTTTGAAAAAACAAATTGCTTGTTGCTTTGGGATGTAAAACATGATTGCAAGAGTAATGAGACGTGGGGCTACCTGAGAGAGAGAAAACCCTGTCATGGATGTTCACAGTAGTCATTATCTTGGGGGGGAAACAAAAGATGAAAAGAAGAAAGAATCAAGTTGGGTTAGATCGTTTAAAATCACATGTGTTGTCAGCGGATAACTGACCTTTGTCGTTCGGAAGATATTTTGTTCTGTCATCCTTTCACGGGCCATCTCACACACACACACACACGAGCAGAACACAGTCATATCGTACTTGCTTGCAGCTAAAAATTGTCTGCATAAATTCTGATATAGATTCTGTAATGCATGTCGATGTGTGCGTACAGTATCTTGGTGATTCTATGGCATATAAATGGATGCCATAAAAAAAGACTGAAAAGGTACACGCTGATTTCAAAATAGATGCCATTATGAGAGTCAGATTGCATTTTCAAACATATTCTCTGCTGTAAAAAATGCCGGCAGATGCGGATAAAGCTCCTTTTTTCCTGTTCCGCTGATACCGACGTTTACATGTAGGCCACTTTGCCAGCACCGTCTTCTTTTTAAATCTGCTTAGGGAGAGAGTGCTGCTCCCTGCAGGGCTGTTAATTATACATAATTGCTTATTCACCTGCCATCACACGTGTGCTTGAATATTGCCTCTTTAAAACAATGGCCATAAGAAAAAGGAAAACAAATCTGGGAAAGTTTCCTTCATAACTTTTAATAAAAAAGAGGATAAACAAAACTGGTGGTTGGCTAGAGGCTGGATACTTCTAGTTAGCTGAGCAGCCATTTCATCTTTTTTTTCATAAATTCATAAAGCCCAAGGGTCATAAAGCATGGCTGAATCTTTACGGGCTCATAAAGTACAATTGGAATGCTTATTTGACCAATCAGATCACTTGGCTGGAAGCACCCATTTTATAATAGCATTTAACTTCAATAACTTATGGCATGAGTGATTTCTAACTGGCCAGGGTTTAGTCAGTGGAAAGAAGAGAGTGGGCGTCTCATGAATGCCCACACACGTGCACACTCACACACATACACGCTGTAACAAATAGAGGCATAGCTTTCTTATGCATTACCTCTTAATTGCCCGGAGAGTTTTATGTTTGAGACATTGACCTGAAAAGATACAGAGCTTATATCACTGCTGCAACCCTGCAGCCTTGTGAGAGATCTGACGGATCGCTCGCCTGCGCCCGATTCAAAAGCAACTCGGTGACCTTGCAGATGAGTTTTTGTTCATTACATGTGTCAGGTGCCACAGTCAATATTGGAATTTGTGCATAGGAGGCTCTTTTTTTTCTTCCCCCGAGCGTGAGAAAGAGAAACATTTGTGATTTCTCCCGACTGTGTGGGAGAGAAGATGATTGCCACTCCTTCTCTCCATCAGTGTGACGATGACAGGTGATGGAGGTGAAAATGACTTTGGTTTCTGTAGTGATGCGCTGCTGTGGAGGATAACGCTGCGCTGCCGGCTACTGGCAGGGCCTGTCTCATTAGCATGTGTCACACGCGCCTCAAGGCGGGTGTCACATAATAACTTTGTGTGCATGTGTTTGTAAGCGTGTGTGTGTGTGAGCCGTGCCACTGAAGGATTTGTCATCCATGCTCCCTGAGCAGAGCGAGCCAGGGGACTGCAGCGGTTTGACTCTGGAGTCGATCCCTGTTCAGAGGAGAGCGAGCAGGACGGCGCAGGGTCAAATAAAGGATGACATCCTCGACACTCATTTTAATTACTTTATCTAGCTTAGATGGAGCTCGCCTGCCACGAGACAACCTGCAGCATGGTTCAAATCCCCAGCTCTGCCAGCTGCTGATTCTTCTTCACCAGAAACTTGTGTCTTGAGCAGAGCTGAGAGCGAGGCTCCTGTAATGCTCTAAAATCATGAAAGCGCGCTCCGTTTTTATCTCCCCTATCTGCTCGGGCCCTGAGAATGAGCTCTGACATGATGGACGTATCAATAAGAGAAAAAGGGAGAAGAGTAAAAAAGAAGTTTTTCCTTTTGAAGTCTGATTGTGGATTACGATGAAATGCACATAGCCTACAGAGGGATAGGATGAAACGCACACATCCAGATGAGACAATGCTCTAGTAGAAACAAGCATCACATTGATCTTTTGCAATGCCCAGAGTGCATCTACTGTAGCGACGCGCCATTGTATATTCTCCACTTACTCGTGCACTCACAATGTCAGATTTTATGTTGTTCCAGTCTCGTTCCAAACTGCGGCCCGTGTAAACAGTTTGTTGATTAAGCCTTGATGTGTGTAAATTTGCGTACCGCGTGTTTCCAACCTGTAATGCAGTATAATGTGCTTAGTGCTACTGAGTGTAAGTGAGTGCTTGGCCGTTCCCCAGAGAGTGATAGCAGCTGGATCAGACTAATCTAATATAGCCCCTGTGTCTGGGGAGCCATCCATTGCTTATCAGATCTCTCATTCAATAACAGTGAGCCATGTCAGCTTATGGAGTTACATGCAGAATATTTTCAAATTCTTGTATTATTTTCTGGCTTTTATGTTCTGATGTGTGTGTTTGTTTGTGTGCGTGGGTATGCAGACTCAATGGACGGCTGCTCCACAGACTGTAACGGAAATGGAGAGTGTGTCGCTGGACACTGCCACTGCTTTGCTGGATTCTTGGGTCCTGACTGTGCCAAAGGTAAGAAATATCTATCTGTCTGTCTGTCTAATTTCAGTAAAAGAGCAAGTTTAAAAGAAATGCGTCTTTCATATTTTCCAGCCTCCCAACACAGTCTGGAGGGACTTTTTGTAGCCCTGAGCCTGTTCACTTCTGCTGAAAATGTTTCTAAAAGTTGTCACAAATGTGTAATTCACTTATACATATATCTATATAATCTATATATCTATATAT